AAATACAAAACATTAGCTGGGCATGGTGGCACGTGCCTGTAATCCCAGCTTCTCAGGAGGCTGAGGCAGGAGAATTACCTGACCCAGAAGGCGGAGGTTGCGGTGAGCCGAGATCGCGCCATTGCACTCCAGCCTGGGTAACAAGAGCAAAGCTCCGTCTCAAAAAAAAAAAAAAAGAGAGAGAGAGTAAAAAGCAACTGGGTACAGTAGCTCATACCTGTAATTCCTGTACTTTGGGAGGCTGGGGCAGGAGGATTACCCAAGCCCAGGAGTTCAAGACCAGCCTGGACAACGTGGCGAAACCTCTTCTCTACAAAAATACAAAAATTAGCCAGGCATGCTGGCGTGTGTCTGTAGTCTCAGCTACTCAGGACGCTGGGGTGGGAGGACCACTTGGGCCTGGGAGGTGGAGGCTACAATGAGCCAAGATTATGCCACTGCCCTCCAGCTTGTGTGACAAAGTGAGACCCAGCAACTCAGGAGGCCCAGGCAGGAGGATGACTTGAGCCCAGGAGTTCAAGAACATAGTGAGACCCTGTCTCTACAAATATAAAAACAACTAGCTGGGTGTGGTGGCATGCACCTATAGTCTTCGCTGCTCGGGAGACTAGGGAGGATCACTTGAGACACAGAGTTTGCGACCAGCCTGGGCAACATAGTAAGACCCTGTCTCTCAAAAACAAACAAACAAAAAAAATACTTCCTATGGTGTCTGTAACAATTAAATAAAACCCCCAATGCTTAGCACGCAGTAAGCTCTCAACCACTGGAGGCTGCTGTTGTTACTTTTCCTTCAGTTACAGAAATGAGGTTCAGGGTGGAGAGGGGCTTGCCCAAGGTCTCACAGAGAGGAGGGAGTAGCAGACGCTGGTCTATTTGGGCTTCCTCCCTCTCACTGGCAGGCATCCCCAATAGTTAGCTACTAATTTTCTCGCAGCAAGGTAAATGAAATAAATACACCCAAAGCCACTGACCTACTCGAATGAGGCTTGGATCCAAGTATTGTTTCCACGGTATAGACCCTGGCAAACATGCATATGTGATTTGTTTCAAATCCCAGCTCCCGAGGGTGGAGGTGGGTTTGTCACACGATTCTATCCAGCAGCCGTCTCTCCGTAGATGGTGTCCCCCACCCAGACCAGCATGAGATGCCTTGGTGTGATTTCAAGAGAAGGGCCCCCTTCTAGATGGCTCCTGAAGGACCTTTGGCTGGATGGTGATGGAGTAGAAACGCACTGAATTAAAAGCCAGGAAGTCCGAATCATTATACATTACATAACAATAATAGGAAGCCATTTTTCTGAGCACTGACTACTCTGTGACGTTGCCAAGTTCTCTGCATTTACTGTTCATTTAACCCTGTCCGCTACTCAGAGACGTGGTGATTACAAATGACCCATTTTACAGATCAGGGAACTGAGGTTCAGAGAAAATAACTCACCCGCAAGTACTGGGATAGAGCCAGGAAGGACCTTAAAACTCTTCCCTGGGGCAGCAGGTGGCCAGCTGTCCCTATGGAGCCTCATGGAAACTAAGCATTCAAAAACCAGGACAAGTGGGTGTCCTTATAGCAACTTAATTTCTTCATCTATAAAATCAGGGGACAACCAAACCTGAAGTTGGTCAGGACAAGGATGCAAAATGTGATAGTAGATGAGGATGTTTTGCGGGAGGAAAAGGAGACAGAGAAAGTGGTGTGGGACTGTTATTAAGATAATGATTGACGGCCAGATGCAATGGTTCATGCCTATAATCCCAGCACTTTGGGAGGCTGAAGCAGCTGGATCACTTGAGGTCAGGAGTTCCAGAGCAGCCTGGCCAACATGGCAAACCTCATCTCTACTAAAAATAGAAAATTAGATGGGTATGGTGGTGGGCACCTGTAATCCTAGCTACCTGGGAAGCTGAGGCTAGAGAATCGCTTGAATCTGGGAGGCAGAGATTGCAGTGAACTGAGATTGCACCATTGCACTCCAGCCTGGGTGACAGTGAGACTCTGTCTCAAAAAAAAAAAAAAAAAGACAGTGACTGACAATGAAGAATCCTCAGAACCCAGAGCTCAGACCCAGCGCTTGCTATCTCCCTTCCTCTCTGTCTTTGTCTCTCAGCAGACAGAAAATACGCCTGCCTCTCCCCAGCCCAGCCTCTTTCCACCGCCTTCCAAAGATCAAGTTTCCTTTCTACCACCAAGGTGTGAGAGAGAAATACCACATCAATTCCCAAGCACCAGCCCAGAGCCCTCCCTGATTCTGTGAAGCAGCAGAGAAAGAGGGGGGAACGTGCTGAGAATGGCCAAAGGCCTTTGCGAATTGCTTCATTTCTGTTTTCTCCTTAAGCAAAGTACACCAAAGACTAATTTCCATCTCTGTCCTTAAGTGAGGTCTGGCTCAAGCCAGAGTCTGGAGGAGTGAGCTTAGGGACCTCGCCTCCCCAAAAGGTGGCCTTCTGGTGGCTCCTTTCATTAAAGAACGGAGTTCTAATGCCAAACGGGATGCTCAGGAAAGCTCTGGAGTCCCGGTTTTCTCTGCTTCCCACTGAACAATGAGCATCCAGGGTTGGGTACCTGGAGGATGTGGGGCTCAGGTGGGTTAAGGAAGCAAGGAGAGGGGAGAGCGACTCTTCCCAGTGAGGAAGGGCACAGCAGTCCTGGATGGGTTTCCCTGCAAACCAGAACCCCAGCAGCAAGATGCCAAAAGACACTCAGCCAGTCACACCTGGGCCACACACAGCAGAGAAGTGACACAGCACGCGGGTGATGCATGAATACACAGAGAGAAACACATACACAGAGCCACGCCAGATGGAGAAGGCATCCCGGGCTGGGCCCGGGGATTCGTAATTCCCTCACCCACACAGAGGGGCTGGCACAGTTACATAAGTTAGGCTGTGAAGGGGAGGCTGAACTTGCTAATTACCCCCCTTGCCGTTGAGGGGATCCAGGAGGTGGCGCCTCCTTCTGGGAGGGGTCTCTGCACCCACCTCCTGCTCTCAGAGGCAGCAGGAGCTTGTCAGCTGCCTCAGCCCTGGGGTGACCCTGGGAAGTCGCTAAAAGGGAAATGAGGAAGTGAGTGTCACTTTGTTAGTCATGGCAGATGGGGGCTCCCTCCTGGTGCTGAAGTGTGGTGAGGATGCTGGCAGGAAGGGGCTTTGGGACAGAGATGGAAGTTGCACTTGAGTGGGGGGTAGGGAAAGAGATAGAGGGTTTCTCTGATGTTCCCTTACCCATCTTGCTGGTAACGATGTTTGTAGTGTGACCAAACCTATCTTTTTGAACTTGGAATAAACTAATAGTTACGGGTAGGGACGGGGGGCTACTTTCCACCCTACTTACACCCACAGATCACCTGCCCCACCCCAGATGTGCCACACTGTGCATGTACGTGGCCCCGTGGGCACATGCCACAGATCTTCACCCCTCACGTGGGCCACGGCATCCCCAGCTGGGGTCCCTGTTGGCCTTTGGTACCTCCACCAGACCCTGTTTGTTTGAGCCTGAGGGAGTCAGTGACTTAGAAGATGCCAGCATTTTGAAAATAACTAGGATAGAAATTTGATTCATTTTGTTTGTTTGTTTGTTTGTTTGTTTGGAGACAGATTTTCACTCTGTTGCCCAGGTAGGAGTGCAATGGTATGATCTCAGCTCACTCTGCAACCTCTGCCTCCTGGGTTCAAGTGATTCACATGCCTCAGCCTATCGAGTACCTGGGATTACAGGCAACCGCCACCATACCTGGCTAATTTTTGTATTTTTAGTAGAGATGGGGTTTCACCATGTTGACCAGGCTGGTCTTGAACTCCTGACCTCAAGTGATCCATCTGCCTGCCTTGGCTTCCCAAAGTGCTAGGATTACAGGCATGAGCTACCGCACGCAGCCTGCTTTTTCTTTTTTAAATCAATAGAGACAGAGTCTTGCTATATTGCCCAGGCTGGTCTCAAACTCGTGGGCTCAAGCACTCCTCCCACTTCAGCCTCCCAAAGTGGTGAGATTACAGGCGTAAGCCACCAGACCTGTCCCAGAATATAAATTTGAAAGAGCTAGAGTATAAGTTTAAAGCTCAGGCTCAAGGTCAAATGCTCCCCTGCAATTATTCTCTATGTGACCTTGGACAACTTACAGAACCTTCCCAAGCTTCCCTTTCCTCTTCTGTTGAGGGGTTATTGTGAGGATCAAAGGAGAAATGAAAAATATGGGTTAAGAGGGAACGTGCTCAAAAAGTGTCTGCCATGTTTTGTCTTTGGGGTTTTTTTCTTCTTCAGTCAACAAATATTCATTGAGTACCTCCAATGTTCCTATGCTACCTTTAGGGGGATAAAGTCTACTCTTCCTAAGGTTTCTCCATCAGGCTTTCAGCTGTCTGTGGAGCCCAAGTGTCTTCCACAATTTTGTGTGGACTCATCTTCTTGGTATTTATGTTTATAGTGTGACTAAGCCTGTCCTTCTGAACATGGAACAAGCTAATAATGACAAAAATAGTTCTGAAGGCCAATTAACATTCCTCATCATTGGGTCCATGGAAGGCAGCGTCATTCCCATTCCACTGGGCTTTGGGGGGTGGCTGGAACAGAAACCCCAGAGATCTGTGCCAGCTGAGCTCCTGAGCTATGGATGGAAAATGAATACCAGACACAGAGAGCAACTAGGCTGCTTGGCAAGTGGGTCTGGTGACTTCTCATGGTGAGAAAGAGATAAGAGACATCTTCTTATTCTCATTTGATTTCTGGGGCTGACTCTCCAAGGTTTGCCCAGGGAGACCCTTTGGTCCCAAAGGGCTTTGATCACGGAAATACAACTAGGTAATTTGCAGCTAACTGGGAAAGGTGTCCCCTCCAGGAAGAAGAATTTTGTTTCTAGGTTGGCTTGAAATTCTGGGGTGTCTTGTGGCTGGACTTTGTCAATTAGCTGCATCTTCTATCTTAGTTTTGAAGGTAGTGTTGGGCACTCTACTTCAATCTTTTTTTTCCTTCTTCTTTTCATCCCCTTCCTGTTCCTCCTCTCCAGCTCACGATGCCTCAGATCTGATCCACATCTACCAGGCTGGCAATGAAGACATCCAGAGAATAGTTCACATCTATCATGCGTCACTTCTAGACACAGCCACCAGACGCATCTCCTCCCCACTCTGCCTGACCTGTGGTTTAGGGACACGTCCCACGGCCTCTCCTGACGTCTGCCTGGTCAACCATCGCTTCCTTAGAGAATAAGGAGAGAGGCAGACGCAGGAAATCATGCCACCGACGGGCCACCAGCAATGAGTGGGTGACGCTGAGTTGACGTCAAAGACAGAGAGGGCTGAAGCCTTGTCAGCACCTGTCACCCCAGCTCCTGCTCTCAGTGTAGCCTGAAGCCTGGCTCCTCCTGGTGAAATCGTCTTGGCCTGATAGCATCACGAGGTCTTCAGACAGGGCCCTTGGAAGCCGGTGGCCATGGAGGATCACATGTTCGGTGTTCAGCAAATCCAGCCCAATGTCATTTCTGTTCGTCTCTTCAAACGCAAAGTTGGGGGCCTGGGATTCCTGGTGAAGGAGCGGGTCAGTAAGCCGCCCGTGATCATCTCCGACTTGATTCGAGGGGGTGCCGCAGAGCAGAGCGGCCTTATCCAAGCCGGAGACATCATTCTCGCAGTCAACGGCCGGCCCTTGGTGGACCTGAGCTATGACAGCGCCCTGGAGGTACTCAGAGGCATTGCTTCCGAGACCCACGTGGTCCTCATTCTGAGGGGCCCTGAAGGCTTCACCACACACCTGGAGACCACCTTTACGGGTGACGGGACCCCCAAGACCATCCGGGTGACCCAGCCCCTGGGTCCCCCCACCAAAGCTGTGGATCTGTCCCACCAGCCAGCAGCCGGCAAAGAACAGCCCCTAGCAGTGGACGGAGCCTCGGGTCCCGGGAATGGGCCTCAGCATGCCCAAGATGATGGGCAGGAGGCCGGCTCGCTCCCTCATGCCAACGGCCTGGCCCCCAGGCCCCCAGGCCAGGACCCTGCGAAGAAAGCAGCCAGGGCTGGTCTCCAAGGCAGAGGGGAGAACAATGAACTGCTCAAGGAGATAGAGCCTGTGCTGAGCCTTCTCACCAGCGGAAGCAGAGGGGTCAAGGGAGGGGCACCTGCCAAGGCAGAGATGAAAGATATGGGAATCCAGGTGGACAGGTAAGCTCCGCAGCGGGGGCTGTGTGTGCGCGCACATACGTGCCTGTGTGTGCATGTGCGTCTGCTGAGACTCAGCCTCATAGCCCAGAAGCCAACCAGGGCTGTCTCAGACACCTGTATTTGCATACCCACTTGACCCCGCCTTGATCTTTACTTAAAATTACATTTGCAGCTGGGCGCTGTGGCTCACGCCTATAATCCCAGCACTTTGGGAGGCTGAGGTGGGCAGATCATAAGGTCAGGAGATCGAGACCATCCTGGCCAACAGTGAAACCTGTCTGCACTAAAAATACAAAAATTAGCTGGGCATGGTGGCAAGCGCCTGTAATCCCAGCTATTCAGGAGGTTGAGGCAGGAGAATCGCTTGAACCAGGAAGGTGGATGTTGCAGTGAGCCAAGGTTGTGCCACTGCACTCTAGCCTGGCGACAGAGTGAGACTCCATCTCAAAAAAATTAAGGAATTAATTAAATTACATTTGCAAGAGGCCGGTGGGCATAGCTTCTAGAATAGAAGCTTCTCTTGTCACAAAACCCAGAAGGAATTAATCATCCTGGTAGCAGATAGTGTGGTCTTCTCATCTTTATCTCCTATAATCCTCCGGGAACCCTAGTTGCATTTTTGCAATCTGTGTTTCACAAGTGAGAAGACCAGGGCTCAGAGTGGAGGTTGCCTAGCAAGTGGGAGGCATGTGTGCATGGCACCCTGGCATGTGTGGCTCTGTAAAAGCCCTTGGAAGGCAGGAGGGAAGAGCTAAGCCCGGGGCAGCCCTTAGCCTAAGCCAGCTTTCTCCTTATTGCAGCCAGTGCAGGATACGGAAAATTCCAGAGGAGGAGAAGGAAATCAAAGCCTAGAGGTGGCCCCACTTCCCAAAAACTGCAGTCCTGCTGGGATTATGTGGGAGCTGGGACTAGAACTGAAAGGACTGGAGACCAGCCCTCTATGTTTGCCAGAATAATGTTTTCTATTCTCTGCGGGAAGAGAGCTGGCATCAGGGTGGTGATGCTAGCTCCTTCTCTGGGGAGAAATCGGCAGCTGGGCCAGGTGGTCACAGAATAATGGGTGAGGAGATTAAACACAGAGAGGAGTGTATTCGTCCCCCTTCCATTTGCATCTTAGGTCTGGCGCTGATGCTACAGCCCCTGCTGCCCCCAGGGTGGGTCCAGGCATACCCAGAGGGAGGCTCAGTCTGGGACCACCAAAAAATCCAGGCCGAGATTTCCCAGCCCTCTCCCCAAGAACCCCAAAGTGTCCTCAGAGCAGTTAGAGACCTTCAGGAACCTTCCACCCCCCACAACCTAGGGGCCTGGATTAAGGTAGCTCCCCAGGTCACTGCATTTACTCATTTAACCAATGTTCACTGAGGACCTCCTGTGTGTCAGGCACTGTCCTACGCTCTAGAGTACAGCAGTGAATGAAATCAACAAATCCCCTGCCATCAGGGAGCTTACAGTGCAGTAGGGAGGACTGGCAATAAACAAGATAAATATATAAAATATGTAGTAAGGTCATGCGCTATAGATGCGTAATAATGTCTTGGTCACCAAAGGGCCACATATGTGCCGTTAGATTATAAAACTTGATGGCTATTGTACCTTTTCCATGTTTAGATATGTTTAGATACACAAATGCTTACAATTGTGTTACAGTTGCCTGCAGCATTTCATACAGTAACATGCTGTACAGGTTGTAGCCCGGGAGCAGTGGGCTACACCACAGAGCCTAGGTGTGGAGTGGGCACTCCCATCCAGGTTTGTGTAAGTGCACTCTGGTGTTCCCACAATGACTAAATTGCCTGATGATGCATTTCTCAGAATGTGTTCCCATCGTTAAGCGATGCACGGCCGTCTGTTAGGGATATATGAGAAGAAGATAAAGAAAGCAGGGAAGGGATTAGCCGGGTATGATGGCACATGCCTGTAGTCCCAGCTACTCAGGAGGCTGAGGCAGGAGAAGCACTCGGACCCAGGAGGTGGAGGTTGCAGTGAGCTGAGATTGTGCCACTATACTCTAGCCTGGGCAACAAAGTGAGACTCCTTCTCAAAACAAAAACAAGAAAAGAGAAGAAAAAGAAAGAAAGCAGGGAAGGGATCAGAAGCATTGAGAATGGGGACTTTTAAATAGGGAGGCTAGGGCAGGTCTCACTAGGAAGGCAACATTTAAATATCTGGAGGACAGCTGGACGAGGTGGCTCACGCCTATAATCCCAGCACTTTGGGAGGCTGAGGCGAGCAGATCACCTGAGGTCAGGAGTTCGAGACCAACCTGGCCAACATGGTGAAACCCTATCTCTATTAAAAATACAAAAATTAGCCAGACATGGTGGCGGGTGCCTGTAATCCCAGCTACTAGGGAGGCTGAGGCAGGAGAATCTCTTGAACCTGGGAGGAGGAGGTTGTAGTGAGCCGAGATCGCACCACTGCCCTCCAGCCTGAGCTGCAGAGCATGATTCCATCTCATAATTAACTAATTAATTACCTGAAGGAAGGGAGAGAGGGAGTCTGGCAGCTTTCTAAGGGGTGGGAGAAGGGATGAGCATTCCAGGTAGAGAGAATAGCCTGTGCAAAGGTCCTGAGGTAGGATTGCGCTTGGCGTGTTTGAGGAGCTGCATGGGATGCAGTCTTCCTCCCAAAATCCCCTCTGGCGGCCCCTTAGCCTGTGGCAGCCCACCTCAGCCTCCCAGTGCATCTCCGAGTTTTCCTAACTTTTCCCACCTGGACAAAAATGGGGTCAATTCCAGTGAGACCCCAGAGCCCCCCAAGGAGTCAGGCAGGGGCTCCATCGCAAGTCCCTGGGCCGAGGGGAAATAAGGGCCTCCCTTTCAGCCCTTTCCCTGCAACCTACTCCTTTTGTCCTCTGTACCTTCCCTGCGGACAGCCTGGAGTCCTCCCTGCAGCTTTGGTCCTTATCCCCAGGAGAAGGAAGACCAGGAGTCTCGGTCCCAATACAAAGGACACGGTGTGGCTTCTCAGCAGGGTAGATGGGTGTGTGAGGAACTCCGTGGCTCTCCGTGTCCATTTCCAGAGTGGGTAGCCAGGATCGGTCTTCGGGATTCTGCTGGCTGGGGGAGGTTTGAAGCCTGGTTCACTTACAACTAGCTCAGGAGTCTTCCCAGGCTGGAACCTGGGCCTCAGGGAGATGCCACTGCCCGGGGTCCCCCCGGGCAGCACATCGAGTGGAGGTGGCATCTTGAGGCCTTGCCGTGTCTCCCAGCAGTCCAGCCCCTGCCATGGAGTTAAATCCTAAGGCAACTGAAGGATCCAGAACAGAAGGCATGGGCCTTGTTTGCCAGGAGGCTTTGGGAAGTGTCCCTCCTGAAAGGCTGCCCCAGGCGCCACCCCTGCCTCCCAATCCTCCAGCACCCTCGCTGTCCCTCAGTGCTACCTCTCCTGAGAAGAGCAGCACCAATGTGGACCAATGTGGAACGGGAGCTCTGTCTTACCTTGTATATGCAGAATCGCCTCCCCATGGTCAGCTGAATCCCAACCATATCTAATGTCCTATGCAGTCCTCGGCTGGGCATTGGGTAGGCATGGATGGGGTATCAGAATTCCCAGGGATTCTATTTCAGCCACACCCCCAGAACCCCAGGAGTCTGAATCTCTGTATGTGACGTGGTAGTAAAGTCCCCTAGAGGATCCCAGTGCACCCTCCCTTCCAGAACTGAAAGCTGGGTCCTTTCCCTCCAGGGATCTCGTTTGATCCTCTCCCCCAGGCGACAGTCTGGGACACGAGGCTTGGCGCGGAACTCCAGGCTTGGGTGTGATGGGGAGGACTACATGGGAGACCCAGGCACCAAGGGGCTCCTCTCCAAACGCCGTCTCAGGGAAGCAGTCTCCTGCCTTTGTTTCCCCAAGGATGAGGGAGGGGTAAGCCGGCCTGACATGCAGTCCCCACCCTGCAGACCTGTTTTTTCAACTCAAAGAGGCTGCATCCAAGCTCTCAACTTCCCTCACCCCTTGCAATCCTCCCACTAATCACCCATCTCAACTGTGACCGTGATGAGGTGGTTTGCCTAAAAGCAGCCAAAAAACCTGCTTCAGAGAAAGACAAGGCCTGGAGAAGGTGACTTAGAACAAGTACGGGGCTCTGTGAAAGCCACGTAGGTGAGCAGTTCTAAGGATAAGTGATATTTAAAAATAGTGCGTGTTCCGCTAGCTCAATGGCTTGGACTCGACTCAAAGCACCCCCATTTATTTGTTTGTTTGTTTCTTTCTTTCTTTCTTTCTTTCTTTTTTGAGACAGAGTCTCGCTGTGTCACCCATGCTGGGGTGCGGTGGCACGATCTCGGCTCATGACAACCTCCACCTCCTGGGTTCCAGCGATTCTCCTGCCTCAGCCTCCTGAGTATCTGGGATAATTTTTGTCTTTTGTATTACCTGGCTGATTTTGTATTTTTAGTAGAGACAGGGTTTCACCATGTTGGCCAGGCTGATCTCAAACTCCTGACCTCAGGTGATCTGCCCATCTGGGCTCCGAAAGTGCTGGGATTACAGGAGTGAACCACCGTACATGACCAGCACCCCCATTTCTTAACACATATTTTTAAATGTCTTTACTAACAGGATACTAATTCGTGGATCACATAATCTACCACATTTCATTGTTTAAAATCTAATATAATGCTATTACCTATAAATAAAGAGGACCACATAAAAGTAACTTATAATTTCAAAAACCTGTAATTCAACGTAACAGTGCTCAGGCACGATCGCACTGGAACGGTCAGATGTTTGCTCCTAAACATAGAACGGCTGCAAACACAACAGCATCAAAAGCAGACTGACACAGGTGTGTTGTTTTGGCAACTCAAATGCCATGAGCAGCGTCGCCTTGGTGATGCAATTTTCCTAAATGGTGAATGACTCCCGATAAAACAATGGGTAAATCAATCTTTCCTTCATTTACCCAATAGCTCCATGCATGGACAATTCAGTCTGCTTGAAAGCCATATTTATACAAGAGAGAGTTGGGATCTCGCCCCAGGAATATAAGCTTGCCT